TCGGTGATCCTTCCGCCTCAGCCTTCCAAGTAGCTGGAACTACAGGTGAACACTACCGCGCCTGGCTAATTTTTGATTTATTGTAAAGATGAGGTCTCGCTAAGTTGCCCAGGCGGGTCTCGAACCCGTGGGCTCAGGCAATCCACTCACCTCAGCCTCCCAAAGCGCGGGATTACAGGCTGAGCCACCGAGCCCGGCTTACTAGAAATATTTTAATCTATTTTTAGAAAGCAGTTTTTGAGGTATTATTGACATACGATACATCGAAAGTAAATAAAGCAGACAATTTGATGAGTTTTAACATACATAGACAGTTGTGTTGCTTAATCATGGAGATAGGTTAGGCCATTTAATTCCTGTATGGACATTACAGCATGTCCTACACACCTGGGCTGAGTACTAGAGTTCATTACTTCTAGGCTACAAACCTCTACCTCTACCCTGTTGCTAAATAATGTAGGCAGTTGGAACACAGTGGTAAGTATGTGTGTCTCTAAACATATCTAAGCACAAAAGCTTGCAATTTCCAGAAACTTATTAATTTGTTTGTTTATTTATTTTTGAGTCAGAGTCGTACTCTGTCGCCCAGGCTGGAGTGCAGTGGCACGATCATGGCTACCACAGCCTCTATCTGCTGGGCTCAAGTGACCATTCTGCCTCAGCCTTCCAAGTAGCTGGGTCTATAGGTGCACACCACCACATGCAGCTAAATGTTAAAAAATTTGTTGTAGAGTCAAGGTCTCACCATGTTGAACTCCTGGGCTCAGGTCATCCTTTTACCTTGGCCTCCCAAAGTGCTGGGATTATAGGCGTGAGTCACTGTGCTCACCCTAGAATTTCATGTAAATGGAATCCTACAATATGCAGCCTTTTGATTCTGGCTTCTTTCCTTTGGCATAATTATTCATCTGTGTCATTTCCTGTATCAATAGTTTATTCTTTTCCATTGTTGAGTAGTATTTCATTATCCATTCATCTGCTGATGGATATTTGGGTTGTTTCCAGTTTGCAGCTACTACAGATAAAGCTACTGTGGACATTTATGTACAAGTGTTTGCAAAAATGTATGCTTTTATTTCTTTGGGTAAATACCTAGTTATGAATGATTGGGTTATATGGTAGGTGCGTGTCTCACGTTTTAAGAAACTGAAAAGTGTATTCCAAAGTGGTTGGACCATTTCACCTTCCCACAAGCAATTCCCTCACATCCTTGTCAATAATTGGTTGGGGGAAAAGAATCAAAAACAGTGCTGCCGACAGAATAACTTTAAGAAAAACTTGTGTGTGTTTGAATGGCAATAACCCTAAAGATTTAGAAGAAACAGTTTCTTAACAAAACATAACCCAACCGGGCGTGGTGGCTCACACCT